AATAGCAATAGATCACTTAATAAATGTGGAAATTACTATTTTTTTTTTACTATTCACCAGTGGCAGGTGTAGCTCCAAAGGCTGCATGTCTTCTCAGTCATATCAAAATCTTGATTTGCTCTCAAATAGCTTGCAATGGGGTTAAGCTTACACTATTGAAACTTGGGCTTACTCTGGTAGCCCTTCGTACACCTTACCAGTCACTGTTTATTCACTGTTTGACTGCAGAAATTGTAGGTATCTTCTGTTTCTGAGGAACTGTCATGTTGCTACACATTGTTGTAGAGAGGGGAAAGGATTTTATCGCAAGCTGTATTGTGTGGTTGCACAGTTGGAGCTCCATCCAGCTGTTGAGATAGTGGTCTCACACCTCCAGCCTCTGCTTTGGTGAAACTGTGGTAGTGTGGAGAAATGTTACTGATGATCCCAACTTGGATGGACCTCTCACACTCTAAAGTCATAGGAAATGCTCAGAACTTGCTGGTGACAATATCAGCTGCAGATCCTCGCGGCAAGGCAGATAGCAAATTATATTAGAGGAGCAGTGGATGACAGGATTGCAATGAAAGTTCATTTAAAATATGATGTTTATTTAAGGTGGCATCCTTGTTTAGTAAAGGGAGTGAGACAGAAAAAACTGCAGTAAAATCAAGCCTAGATATTGCATTTAGATAAATGGATGATTTTTTTTTGGCTAAGTATTGACCTTATTCATTATGGTTTAGTGATTCTTTTTCCTTGATCATATAGACCATGCTAAGTGACACAAACATTCTTCCTGCGAGTTAAGTCAGGAAGCAGTCATTGCAACTTAAGGACTAGTATTTTGATAACCGTGTTACTTTGCAGAGATACTTAATAACAGCACTCTGGTTCTTATCAAAAGCCAATTTTGCAGATTTATTAATTTGAAGAAGTATGCTAAAAATTACATGAAATTGTTCAGTGCAGGTCACACGGAGAAGATGCAGGATTCTCTCTGAGCACTGATAACAACATGAAGAATCGCACATTGCTTTGAACGAATGTTAAACTTACCAGAAAATTCTGTGAATCTTTGGGCGAAGCAGTAAAATATGTTTTGTATCTGTTAATTTTGTTTCCTCAGCCTGCTGCAGCAAAGTGGTGAAAGTTATGTAACAGCAGGAAACTTTATATCAAGGAAGCAAAGAGCTTTCAGTGAACATCCTGAAGATTAGAGCTTGTCTACTACGTCAGCTCCCATTCGGTTTTCAGAGTCTGTGCTTTTTCATCTTCTTCTTTATTGACTCCAGGGAAAAATGAAGAGAAAGCAGGATCACCTTCTCTTAGTGCTGCATAGCCTCACAGGTTGCAAGATTTTCCTGTCTGTTCCAAAGCAGTTTATTTGTTCTGTTTTGTTTTTGTTATTTTTCTGTAGGTCCTCATCCAGCCTTGGAAATGAAAACCTCGTGATAAGCACTGTGTCTAAGCCCTAGGGCAAGCAAGCAAGTTGCAGAGATTTTGATGTACATAGGATCCCCAAACCAGGACTTGTTTTTCTCCTTCATGAGCACACTTCTCATAGCCCTGCATTGGAGTCCATCAGAGGAGAAAGGTGAATTTATTTCTGCTCTTGTATCAATTCCTGGTCCAGTGAAGTAGATGCTATCATTCCACTTCTTGCCGGAGCTTTGTAATTCCAGAAAAGAGTGAAAGACAAGGGGGCTTTTGTGTGTATAAGATGTGGCAGTTTACAGTCACCGTTTTCCCTGTGGCCATTTAGAGCTAAGCTGAGCTCAGATTATCTACAAATCTTGTTTTCCCTCATCACAGATGATATCAAGAGCCTTCTGTAAGGATTACAGGGACTTTGGTCAGTCTTCTGTGTTCACTCCTGATCTTGTGGCATTGCCTGCTATAGAGCTGCTATACCAGGCACAGCAGTTTGTGGTCTGTCTGTCTAGCTGTATTGCTTTTACTTATCTTGGATAATATTCCACCGGCAAAGTTTTGTATCAGCCAACCTCTGTGTTAGCAGAACTATCTCTTTCAATCCAAAACGACTGTCAATAATTTATCTACAAGGAAAGTAAAATTGTCTTCCAGAGGAAACTGTATGGTCTTAAATACCACTTAAGCAATCCAGATTAAGTGTGTAGTAAAATCTTTGTGTAGTGACGGCTATTGCAATTACAATGAACGTTTAACTGAGTGACATAAATTTCTCTCCTGTAGACTTAACTTGCCAATATAAAAATCAGACTTTCTGCTGTGCATAAGACCTTTAACCGATAGTGCACTAGCAGGTACTAGTTAGTGTCTGATAGTGAATGTGTCCTGTCACTGTAAATACACAACGTAGTCCAGACCAGAAGCCACTTAGTTCTTGTTAGGTGGTGATGGTAAAAAGGGGAGGCAATCTGGAAGTTCCAGTAAAGCACATGAAAAATAACCAAATGTCTATGGAGAACATAGAGAAACAATGTCTAAGAAATTACTGATCTTACAGTACGTTAGTAAGGAAAATTCGAAATGAGAAAAGTATTAATTAATAATGAATGTATGAGAAATGGAAAGAAGCCGAAGGGAAAGTTCCCTGATGGAAGGGAATTTGTTCTCTCACAAGATCTTGACCCTTTGAATATTTCTCGAAGTCAATATGTGGATAATTCTTAGAATTAATGTTAGACCGGTCATATAGAGGACTTGGAAGTGTTTTACTCTTCACAAGCAGTGAAGGCTTAAAAGAGAGAACTTTATGTTTGACCTTACAAGTAGAAGTCTAATTTTTCATTGGTGTAAATTAGGTAATTCCATTTCCTTCACTGAAGTATTTTAGAGATGAGGGTCTGGATCTAAATCTTTAATGGATGCGACTATGCAACTTAATTCCTTAATAGCCGATTTCAAAATTCCTTGCGAGTTTGATATTTGTGTTGTATCTCTTCTTTGCTTGATAACACATTGTCCTCATACAAATATGCTAAATGATAATATTTCTATCTTTGTGTACGCTGTTGAAGCTAGGTTACCTGAAACAGTAGAATCAGGGAGTGAACTGGAGACTGAGTCTAATGTTTACTATGTATACAAACCACATCTTTAAATCTTATCATCTTGAAAATTTTTAGGGGTAGAGAAATTAGCTCAAAATTTATCATCAAGAAAATCTAGCACTAAAGAGCAAGGCTGACCTGCCGTGTGATCCAGGAATAAATTAAAATCCAATGTATGCTGCAGATTTTGAAGTAGTATATTTTTATGCTTTTGCTTCACTGAATTTGTTGAAGAATTCAATGTGAACACTAGCCTTAAAGAATATGAAAAATTGGTATTTCTGCTGAAGAGATGTTTTATTAGACTTTGCTGTTTTGCTCGCCTTGCCATTAGCATATTAATGGCTATGTATTTTAAGAACTGTAAAATACATGTCTCTGTAGTATACAAGATAATGTGAGAAATTAAAAACAGTGAGTTCTCTGTTTCCGTCACTAGCTCTAGGTAGTTGTAGCATGTGACCTCATTTTTGGGCCATAGCTATAAAAATACCCCATCCTTTAAACACAGAGGTTACCTTGAATAACCTATCCCTACACAGAGTTATATTGCTAGCTTTCCAAATCATACAAATTACTCTGAAGTGAAAACCGCAGTGGAAAGAGTCCAAAACTGCATTCTTGGCTCAGCTCATCATACCCGTAGTTATTTGCCAGTTCTCTTTTCCTTGAGCTTTTGAGGGAGTTTAAAAAAAAAGATAAAAAAAGCTTATATGTGCCATACTGAAGATTAGAACCAATATTAGTTTTTTTCACATTCATTGCTTCTGCTTCCAAGCTAGTATGAAGAAAGAACAAATCAATGTGAAATTAATAGCACATCTATCTATAGGTTGAGTTCATTTATTACCTTAAACATATGACTGGTTTTATTATTTCTATCCTGCTTGTAGTAAATTTTGTAATTTAGTACTTGAAAAAAGAGACATGTAAGTCAAAAGACATGGAAAGACATGGAAGACAAATAGACATGGAAATCATAACATTATAATGTGCCACAAGGTGACATGTGGTTGTTCAGACATTCAGGGATTCTGCTTTGTCTAAGTGCATTGGCGAGTGGGGGAGTTATATATACATAATCAGAATGCCCAATCTGTACTAAGTATATTTCAGAAAAAGAAAGAAAAGTGGTCCAAAAGATCAACATATGTAACATCGCTGGGTAATAATTTGTGTAGCTTATATTTCACTGTACGTTGCACCAAATTGCTCCTTAACAGTCTGGTATGAGAATCTAATCCTACCTCCAAATATTTGGAAGATAAAGACCAAGAAGAAGAAATTCTCTGTATAAATTTTTTTTTTAATTTTATTTTTGACAGGTAAATCTCGGGAGGAAACTTGCTGGTATCCTGAAGTGAGAGAGAAGTATGATCCATGCTGCTTAAGACATTTAGAAGTAGCTCAGGAGCAGATCATGCTATCCTTCGGTAACTGGCGTGTCCCACGAGCCCTCAAACAAATTACAAAATGGCTGGATTAGGAAAAGAGGATGTTATTCTGTAAAGGTAAGTGTATCATAATCCCGCTATTAAATGGTAGACCTCTCTGAAGGATTTTTCTTCCACTTCTTAGATTTGTTATTACTATTGTTAAAAATAACAGACTATAATAGGACAGAATTATAATGAAAACTACTTCCCCCTTTAAAGGTACATAATTTCATTCCAGTTTCTGAAAATGAAGTCATTAGAGGTTTCACTCGTGTTTGATTGCTTCTCCATTCTGGGTAGTGCAGATGAACAATTTCAAAAGTCAGTGCATCAGCTCGCACTGCAGCCTGTGCTTGTTCTCTTCTTCTGCTACACATTAATGATCCATACAGTGTCTTCTTTAATGGCAGGAGGCTGCACTTGCACACGCTGCTTTGGATTTTGAATCGATAGTGACTGTTAGTACAACCTTTTGGTATCAAATGCTCATGGGTATTTGCGCTTCCATAAACATTTAGAGGGTGCTTGTTCTTCATATTGCTTTAGTCTCATGTGAATATGGTTAGCCATTCATGTGTAAAAATTATTCACTCTTCAACTATTAATGCCCCAATTAAAAGATTTCAGTTATGTAGGTCGAAGCAAAATTCTATATAACTAGAATGACCAGCTACACAGCCTAAATAATAAAAGGGGAACAGACCAAGTGAGTATTTCACAAACCCTTTGGGTGAGGTTTGTTATGCTTTTGCATAGCCCACTGAAGATAATGAGAATTTGGGGTTTTGGCTCAGGCACTTCAATTGTCTATTCTACAATTACAATAATAAACACAACAGTAGTCTGTTTGCAAACAACTGGTAATTGGAAAAAGGGCTGAATTTGTCAGCAAATGTATTTGTCAGCACTGATTTGACCAATTCTAGACATTACCTTAAATGACATTTCCTTTCCATGAGAGATTCTGGAATATGTGCCTGACTGGTTTCCTTGGTGACTGTCATGCAGAGAGCGTATCTTTCAGTGGCATCTGTCTATTGAACATTAAACACCCTACAGCATTTGCTGTTTATTAGCCTGTATAAATGAGTTGTTTTCCTGTTGCTTTATCGAAACTCCGTGCTGGTAGTGTGGGAGATATGTATTTGTGAAAAGTGGAGTAAGGCAGCTCTAATGACTTCAGGTTTATCAGTTGAACATAGAAGATTTTAAATAGTTCCTCTTGGTAGGAGAATGATGACACTTTTACAAGCAGAAAAAAAAAACTTATCCACTCTATGCTTTTTATTATTATTAATTTTATTTAAGAGCTATCTGATTCTATAAAGTGATTTTTGTAAATGAGTGGTTAAGTGAAGTCAAATTAGGCATCCCAGTGCACAATTCCCCATGAGAGATCAAACTTGTGTGATAGTCACTGAGGTCCATAGAAATTATTCAGTTCCCTTGCTTGTTTATGTGCTATTTCCAGGCTCAAGTATCTTGCCTGAATTTCTGTACGTTTCCAAAGGTACATTCTCCTCTGCTGGAGAATGGTGCCACTTCCCCGGCTGCAGTAGCACGCTGCAGGGCAGCAGCACCAGCACCTCCTCTGCTGCGCGTTCGAGTGCTCCTGTCGCAGCTTCTCGGGGTTCCCGTTTAGGGTGACAAGACCCAGGCAGCCCTGGTACCAGCTGGCAGCCGTGCGCACATAGGTGTGCGTGAGCTCCTTTATAGCAGGAAGTGGATGGAAAACACAAACCGCAGTCATCAGTCACATTTGCAAGCTGAGGCTTGGGTGTCCTTTCTTCTTTACCTTTTGTGCACACTGGCTCTAATATCAAGTATTTGTGATGACCTCTTAGCTGCCTCTTGGGGGTTTTTTGATGCTCTTTTTCTTCCCTCTTGCTGCATTCATCCCTAAGCAGTTACCTGTGGAGTCTAAACATCTTCTGGTAAAAATAAATGATGGTATCCTCTTCCTTTGAAATTTGGTATTTCTTTATGGTGGCCCAGAGATAGAAGTAGAGTGGATTACTGGTGCCTATAGTTAAGCCTAGCCAGTGTGTCTCAGTGCTTCTGATATTTGGGTAGTTATAAACACAGGAAATATTATGGTACTGTCATTGTC